ATAGGTTTCTGTATTAAATTGTTGGGATATTCTTCTTTCAAATAACAAATTGGTTTTTAATAAACAAATAAAAAAATAAATTTTTGATAAATTTTTTTTTTATATACATATAAAAAAATGAATAATATACATTTTTGATTAAATAGAATTATTTTTTTCCAAAAGTTATTAACAAACGTTTTTGTGATTTGAAAGAATACTCACCTTTCATAAGAAAATTAATAAAATAAACTTTCGAAAAAAAAAAGATTTTTTTTTTTCAAAATTTATTAAAAAAAAGTTTTTTGATATGAAAAACTACTCACCCTTCATCTCATCTAGAATTATAAAACGATTTTTTTTTCTTTTCATATATATTTTTTATTAGTTTTTTGGTTTTATTTTGGTTTATTGCCCTGCTACTTACATACAAAAAATTATACAATAATTGTCATAATAATAGTTACATACATACATAATAATTTTTAATAATAGTTGCGAGTAGAATACGCGTTCATTGTTCGATCATCTTTTAATATATAGAATTAGACATACATTTGTATGTATATGTATGTATACATAGTATGTATGAGCTTCTATTTTTTTTTCAAAACTACATACTCACATACATAGTAAATATTATATCATATATGTATGTACATATGTAATACCGTTTTACAGTGGTTTCATATGTACGTATGTGTGTATATATTTTGGTATATTAATTTACTTTTTTCTTTCATAAATAAATGTGGTCTTAGTTTAATTTATTTAGATGGAAAAAAATAGTTTGGATACACTTTTTTAGTTTTTTTTTAAATATTTTGCTCTGCCGCAAATGCTGAGTATTAATTTTTTCGAGTTTACTGAAAACACATGAAACACACAGATGATAAGTGAGTATGTATGTATAATATTCATATACATTGTATATGCAGAAAAAATTTAGTTTTTTTTTACTAGTTCTTTTGAGTTTTTTCACACATAAGTATTTATGCGTGTACATTAGACCGTACCACCGTTACAAGCAAACAAAAAAGTTCCGCGCTATTTTCGCAAGGCAATTTCGAGAAGTTTTTTTTGTCGAATCTAGAGGTTGCCGTTTTACATTTTTCGGTGCAACCTATATTCGGCAATAATTTTTTTTTAAGAGTTCTACTGGAATAATCAAAACATGTACTTCCTTAGCAAAAGTTGGCGCTTACACAATATGTTACCGCTTGGCCCAGCTTCTCCTCCGATTTGTTGCGTGCCGAGGGGCGACCGCTAGTAGAAAAAACTTTTTCTTTTCTCTTCTTTTTAATGTTAGTACGCACTTCACACCACAATACCTCAGCGACCGCCAGTTTTTTTGGTGAGCTTTAATTTACGGACATTAGGGTGGCACGTTGGAGTGATAAGAACTTTGTCTCCTACAGACAAAAACATCGATATATCAAAAGTTAATATCCGACTGTTAATGCCGAAGATATGATGATAAACTTAATAAAAAGGAGTTCGTTCAGTAAAAAGAAATCTAAATTGACTTACAAAAAATAGTTAGATTCAGAGGAGTACGGCGAACATTTATGTTCTGGTAGTTGAAAGAAAAAATTCAAAAAACTGGAGGGGTTGGCATTTGTTCGTTTGTTGAAAAATTTTTTTTTTTTTTGTTTTGAGTCTGATCAGCTACTTATACATATGTAATACTCTAGTGTGTAAATTCGCTTGTTGCTGGTTACTCAATGCACTTAGCATTCCAAGATTTCGAGCAATAAACTGTAGTAAATGTGGCTGTGTAGCAAATACGATTTTTGAAAATCATTTCAAATCCAATTTGCATCTCCGTTTAGAAAAAAATCTCCATTTGGTTTCATTTCGTGTCACTATGTGTCTAAATACATATAAATATTTACAAAACTACTGGGTATGCGTCTGCACTATAATAAATATAAATATAAATAGATAACTAGTATATACTCGTTCTTCTACAAACCAGTAAGCTATATTTGTGTGTACATATCTTTATGTCACGCAGCTCGCCGAAGCGCACTATAAAATCGACGAAACGTAGCTGTATTTAGTTTTTGTTTACCTTCTTAATTTTTGTTTTTGAAATTTGTTATTTTTACTTATATATGTATCTCAAGGGTTGCCATATATGCAGCAATTTGTTCCGCGTTTGTTTTATAATTTGTTTTTGTCTATAATTAATTAAGTGTTAAAATTTATATTTAGAATATTTTCATATAAATACATAAATATAAATAGATTTGTTGCCAAAACTCGCTTTTATCTAAAGCAAAAAAAAACTTGTGATATTCAGCATAACAATGAGTGCAAATTATTTAAAAAAATATTATATATGTTTCGTTTTACATCTCCAGTTTTGATTCTAAATCAGTGGTGAGCCTGCCCGCGGTCAAGCTGATGACCACCACCGTTCTAAATTATCTTTGCGCTCTGCTGTCAACGGTATTCTAGTGCTGTTACAGCCTTAGGCCAATGACGACCTGAGAAAGCTTTTGCTCTGTGTGCGTCTACATAAGTATCTATGTATATAAAAACGTTAAGAAGCTTAAAAAAGTTCTACGAGTGGGCTGCGTTTTTTTGGTGACTGCTTGAGACAAATAAACAATACCAAGCAGAAGCTTTTAGTATCAGCTAAATTTTAAAATTTTGAAGCTTAAAAACTGCGCTCGTCATTAGCAGTATCAAGCCTGTTCCAGAAACTTCACGATTCGCAGGTTTTAGACGATTAACAGGAAAAGCTGTTTTCCCAAGTAATAACCTTTTTGTAAGGTATCGTAAGGGAAGAGTTTTATGTCAAATTCTGGCAATTCCCGCAAATCGTAAAGTATCTGGAACAGGTAATAATTTAAATAAGAGATTTTACCCTGTGCGCGCTCTTATTAAATCTACAGATGAAGTTGTTTCAGTCGTATCTTATTTAAATCTAGCAAACTGTATAGCTTAGAGAGCTTTTGGAATGCATATAAAGCAGCGATGGACAGAAAGAGCTTTTACTTTGCGCGCATTTATACAAAATGTACAGAAAGCATGAAAAAGCTTTGCCCGCTGGCTAGGCGGTGCCCAACACCGATCCGAAGCTTCATCGCTTTGCTCCAAATAGGTCGACTAGCAATGTAAAGCGCCGTTTTTAATTTTTCTTTGCAAACCTATATGCCTAATGGAGTTCGTACTATACATTTTGAAATTATAAAGCTTTTGTTTTTGGAGAGGAATGCAGCTAATACATTACAAGAGAATTTTTAGTATGTAATTATGAAAAAATTCTGAAAAAATCTGAGGGGCCTATTAAATTATTTGAATCCATAGCTATCCAAAGGAAATTGCTTGAAACTTTTGAAAATCATAAACTTAAAGCTCTAATGTTTCTTTTTTTTAAGTTTGAAGAGCGAAATATTCTCTAGAATCAAATTTCTCCTATCAAACTACATGCCTTTTTCATATCAGAGAGCTTTGGCTAGCTAAAAGAATTTACTTTTTTGAGATTTCATTCAACAATTTTTATTGAGCCCGAGGCCGTTTTTAATGAAAAACTTATTGTGGAAAAGCAACAATAATTGAGATTTCAGTAAAAGCTTCCGAGATTTTTAGGTTGTATGTCACTATTCTGCAAATTATGAAGCTTTGAATTTTGAGATATCCAATTAATAGGTACACGTGCGGAGCTTTTATTAAGCATTATACATAGTTTATATCGGCCATGGGCAGAGAGAGCTTTTAATCTTCTCGCGCCTATAAAAAATGTATAGAAAGCTTAAAAGAGCTTTGCCCGCGGGCAAGGCAGTGCCCATCAGTGGTTTATATAGACGCGCACAAGTTTAAAGCTCCTTCCATACGCCACTGATTAAAAAAAAGTTTTTAAAAGTTGAAATGTTTTTAGAGCTTCTAAAAAGTTCCATTTTGCTAAATTTGAGCTCTAAAAAACAAGCTTATGATCGGATTCCGGTTTTTTGAGTCAAAAGTTATGCGAAAATTTATGATAGTGGTAAAAATGGAACATCGACTAACGAAGCTGCATAGCTCATCCTAATTGCCTCAACATTTGATTTCTATGCTAAATAGAAGGCTATTCTCTTGAAAAAAAAAAATATATATATGTTTATATAAACCTTTCACTTCTCTTAAAGACCGCAATAACTCGAAAGCTCCAAAGCTTTTCTCTGTATTATCTTGCACAGCTGCAACAGCACTAATTTACCGATATTCGCGTTTTAATTTTCGTAGTTATCAACTTCTCGCCAACGTTCTCGCTTTTATTGTATTCTAAATAGGAAACATAGTAGTTCACTTTCGATTCTTGTTTTTTTTTTCTAAAAAAAATTTAAAGTTTTTTTTGTTTTTATTTTTATGTACCTAGGTTAATATTCGAGTAAGAAAAGGACTTTTTATAGATTATATTTTTCTAACTTTTTGACATTTCCTCCCAAGTAAAATAGATGTGTATATGCAATTTGCTCTCCTGTGGATGAGAGAGAAGACTGCATGGAAAAAGCTCTCTAATGAGCTAGCGTTTCTTATTGTGTGGCACGTGGAAAGGGCGAAAAGTTCTGATATATATTTCCTATGGATATCTCAACGAGCTTATAAATAGAGCTACACTTGTGGTCAGCTGATTGAGCCAAGTGACATTTTGACCAGTTTTGGCTATTTTAGTTTACCTAGCCAGCGCCACATAAATCCACATTTCAAACTTCGTACAAAAATTATGAAAATTCAACAAACTTTAACATTTGCACCCAAAAACTTTAAAGTTTTTATTTCGAATTTTTAGAAAAATTGTGGGTATGCAGTTTTGTAGCTTATTAAATTTTAGTAGGTTAAGTGCAAATTTCAAGATGCCAGAAAATCGAGTCGATTTTTAATACATATTTTTTTTTTGCTGATGGTGCTAGGCATTTTTTCCCATAAAAACGAAATTGTCGAGCATAATTTATTTTCTAGCGTGTTGAAATTTGCACTTTAACCGACTAGAATTTAGTGGGCTAGACTTTTATAAAAAAATATAAACATTAAATAAACAAAAGAAATATAGCCAAAACTAGTCAAAATGTCACTTGCCTCAATCAGCTGACCACAAGGGTATTTTTGAGGAGAAAAATATCTAAGTATGCAATCTACACCTCGTGGAGTTCAATCCATGAAAAATAATTCCTTTTACGTAGAAAAATAAGTTCTTGTTTGCGTAAAAGCGGAGACTTTGCGGCGTGTAGAACCGACTGTTATCTACTTATCTTTTTCTATGGAACCTTCCCTTAGTAAAGCCTTGTTTCCTCGATTACGATCTGATGACTCCTAAAACAAGTTCCTGATTTAAGAAGACTTACGTTCATTGATCAGCGATCTGGAAGAAATTTCCAATAAACAAAATGTCTCCCATATTTTAACTGACTGTTCGCCAGGGTCAGGAAACGGGGCTTTTTAAGAGTTTGGAGAATTGTGAATACATTTGTATGTATGAAAAATAGCTACACCACACACTACAGTAAGAGCTTAGCCTAAAGCTAACGGGATATATCTTTTAGGAAATAAAAATGGTATTATGGAAATCTACTTGAAATGGATGGATCGTTCTGGAGTGTTTAGGTGGAATATATTGTTCGCTATCGAAACCTGGTTCAAGCTGGGTATTAATTACCTAATCGCTAAAAGGGGATAGTAAGAGGCTAAGCAGCAAACCAGCTCTTTGTTTAATCTGCAACTTGCTAAAAATGTAGATGTCTCGCAAGCTTAACATAGCTTATGTCGTTGATAAATTGCTTACTTTCTACACATACCATTTTTTTTATGTACATACACCCACTCTCTCAACCTCTCTACTTTATGCGCTGATGATCTGGCGTACTCTTCAATATGTCCGGCTGATGATGGTGCCCGTGTCCGTGGGAGGAGCTCATGGTGCCCTGATGACTGCCGCCGCCTAATGTATGCGTGGCGCCACCACTGTAATGCGACGAGCTTAGCGTATGTGAGTGTGTTGAATTAAGCGTGTGCGTGGCATGCGAATTGAGTGTATTGTGCGCCGTTGTGGTGGCATTGGTCGACATACCGGCGGTGGTAGTGCCGCAACCACCCAGCCCAGTACCGGTACCGGTGCCCGTTGCAGTGCCGGTACCTGTGCCACCAGCTGGTCGCGTGCGCAACGAACGATGTGACCCATTACGGGTAAGTGTATTCATTTGTGGCGTGCCAGGCACTGTGTGTCCGAGTGCATTCATGTAGTCCGCGATCAGCAGCGTAATTTCGAGTATCTTTGGCTTGCTCATGGCGAAGATTAATTTCTGCTCCTGTTGGCCGCATGCGGCCAGCGTATCCTCGCTCGAGACGACCAGCATGAAGTCATCTTGACAGCCACCAAAAGTCATAACCGACGTGTAAGGGTAACGCGCTATCGGTGTCATCGAGCTGAGTTCGAGCACGTTGAGCGCATCCTCGGAGATTGCTAGCCATGCCATGGCCTGATCGGAGTGACGCGGCTTGGCTTGGAAGAGACTGGCGCCAAAGTAGGGCCATTTGCGACAGCAAGTCAGATAGATGCGCACACAGTCGAGTGTCGAACGTCCCTTCAGCAGCATCCATTTCGAAATGAGCAGCTCTTGCACCTCCTTCAGCTGCTCGGCACTGAGTGCATCACGATAGCGATAAGGATAGAATTTATCGAGCGCTTTCAGCCCCACATTGCTACCCGTGCCGCGCGATTTTTCGTGCGAGTAGTCGCCCATGTCGATTTGTGACATCAGCGAAGCCAACTCGAGCGCAAGATCACGCGACAACGGAAAACGTCCTTGCACTATTTGTGAGTTCGTTTGGTAGCAAAATAGGAGACGTTCCTTGTCAGTTTCAAATTTGACGGTGTGTCGCCAGTACAGGCGATTCTTGTAGGTCAATTGGATGACGCGTGTATTTTCAAATTTGCCAGAGCCTTTTTCGCGCAAGGCAGTCTCCCACTTGGAGATGACGTCGCAGAGTTTAGCAAGCGGATCGAGATAGTGTTCGAGATCTTTTTCAATTGGATCGTCGCTGAAGAGGCAGAAACCATTTGTAGCGTCGCGTGTGCCAATCTCCTGCGCGAGTGTGGTCTGGAACTCCTCGATCGTCGTCGAGCCGTCGAAGGAGACGACCTGTAAGAAAGATAGTAAGTATTTTGAAGTTAGTGTGACGGCGTAGATTTAAGGCTATGTGGGAATGAATATTTTAGTTGCTAACTCCAGTGTTATGTAAGTATTGCCCCAATATTAGCCTTATGATACCTTGGAACTCTGAAGCTCCTTGGGCACTAAGAGTCCGAACAGACAGATCATATAGAGCTCGCTGAGCCCTGCCTTAATTTGTAAATTTATTCCCGAAAACTCGTAGTTTCGACAGGATTGATTGGACAATAGTGAGAGGGGTGTTAGATGAGTTGGTTTGAATTTGGAGTCTGAAAGAGGATTATGGAAAAGAATTTTCGGTTTGAAAAAAATTGAGGCTTTCCTCCACATTGTCAACTGATTTCAATAGCATTATTTAATAGAAAATCTTCTTGGGTAACTTGACTGAGACGGATTTTTTCGAAGAGGATAAAAACCGTGGCTGGTTTTCGGTTCTACAAAATAAATCTCGAGATCAAGGCAGGACGTAGTCATCTGTGAACTGCGATATTTGCGCGCTCTGAACGAATATTGTCCGGCCATGATGTCTAACCACAGCTATGTATACCAGACAAGCGCAATTTTTGAAGAGCTATAGCAGGATTTTTTCTAAACCTCTCTTATATTCACTACATATTTTGGAAACAACTTTCTTGATGTGGTAAACTCAACATATTCTGATCACAATTCATGAAATCAGGGGCTATAAGGACAAAACATTTAAAATCTGACAATTTTGCGCCATCCGAATGAACACTTCATCATTAAATAGAATGCCTAAATTAGCCGTTTTCTTACCTGATAAGTGGTGTTCATCATATGCACCGGTATGGCGTGTGGCAGTGAGTGATGATATGGATTCTTCAGCAATATGGACAGCACTTCCATGCGTGAGGGTTTTGTCTCGCGACCGCCATTTTTCAACGTCCGCTCCAAAGCGCGTTCACAATAAGCAGCATACTTGCCAGTCTCGGTCTTCGTGTCCGCATTACGTGACAGATGTAACTTCAAATACCACAAAAGACGACTTGATTTGGGTACAAAAAGCGATACGGCCAGCGAGAGTAGTTGCCAGCCTTGGACGAACGAATAGGCAGGTGGATTTGATTTGCAATCGATGATGGGTGGTGGTGCAGGTGCCTGTGAAAGCGAGAGAGAGATAGGCAGAGAGAGATAGAGAAAAAAGAGAGCGACAAAAAGGGGGAAACAAAAAAAAGAAAACGAGATAAAGTTGTTTAATTCAGCATTTGATCACAAAATTTGTAAAATAGTGAACGCTCAAAAAGTATTAGTGGAAAGACATGCGTTTTAATTTCTTCTAAATTAAAATAATTACTTAGCTATTTTCTTAGTATGTAAATTATGCAATTTCCCCCCATACCTGTATGGATGTTGGTGAACTGCCATTGGCCTGCGCGGCGCCACCTTGTTGTGTATCACAAGTGAATAGACTCTGCGTGGCGCACAATAGTAGTTGCTGTAAATTTCGATTTACATGTTCGAATACCATTTCGTTTTTGTTTGTAATTTTTTTTTCGAATTTCAATAGTTTCGCACATTTGTTATGGGTACATATACGAGCGAGTAGCGAGTGCAGGTTATTTATGTAGTTGGTTAGTAGCCATTTTTTTGGTTGGGGCGCGTCACAATTTTTTGAAGTATTTTTTTTTTTTTTGGTTTTGAAGGATTGGATAAGGCATGTTAGCGCATATACATACATATATTTTTCACGGGGCGAAAAATAAAAAAATGAAAACAAAGAGAGCGGAAAGAGCGAGAGAAAAAAGGTATTGAGTTTGGTTGGTGCTTTAGAAATTTTGAATATATTTTTTAGGTATGTACATACATATGTATATGATTTTTAAAAACATTAGGAATATTTTCTTGCAGTGTAATGGAGACTTGCTAATGTTCGGGTGTGTATATTCGTATGTGTGTTATACTTTTTCTGAGTCATAATTTTTGAAGAAAAAAATACGTTCCTTTCTAGACTAAATATGCTATGCATGATTTTTTTTCAAAATTCCTAATAAAAAATTTTCTAGTAAACATCCTTAAATAAAAATATTAATTCCCAACACAAAAGGAGTAACTTTTCTAAGTTTTTTTCTAAAATTTCAACAAAAATTTTCATATGCAACTAAAATCTTTATTGAGAAATGTATAGAGTGCATATATTTTGAAATTAATTAATTTTCCTGGTTTTCGCATTTGTTCGACTTTTTGTGAAAAACTAATCTACTTACTAAATTTTATTTTCCTAGCTAAATCAGTTTGTACTAAAATTTGTAACTAAAAATGTATAGCAAACGTTTTAAAGTTAAAAAAAAATAACCAGAATATACATATGTAGGTATGTATATCTATATTTCTTAAAAAAAAGCAAAAGTAAAAACTATTTAAAATTTTTAATTTTTTCATATAAGTTAGTTAACATTAACAACATTATTAAATGTTAAATGTTTATTTAATTTATTTACTTTTTTTGACTTTTATATTTGGTGCAAAAAATATAAAAAATTTTAAAATGTATAGATTAAGCCATAAAAACAAGTCAAAAATATTTGAATTCTTTTCGAAAAAATTTCAAAATATTTAATTTTTTTTTGAATATATTTACAAATATTTGGATTTGTTTTTACAAAAAATAATTGAAAAAGTTCTACCTAAACATCTAATATTTTTGGCACTAAAATAATAAAAAAAATCAAATCTCTAGAAACTTTTTAAGTATGTAATAAGGTTTTGTGTTTAAAATTTTTTGGAAATTTTCATATTTTTGAAGACTTTTTAAATATTAGGTCTAAAATGTATAGATATTTGAAAAAATATAAAATTTATTTAAGATATTAAAATTTCTTTTACAAAATAATGTTAAAAAATCGTTTAAAAATAATTGTTAAAAAATTTCTTAATTTTATTTTGTTTAATCCAAACTATTTCCCTTAAAATTAAGTTTTTTCTTTCGAAAAATTATTTGACCAATTCTTCTAATATTAAATATTTTTAGTAAAAATTACTTTAAAAAAGTCATTACATAATTTTAGACCTTTTCCTAGATGTTATTAGACAATTTTTTAAGGTAAATATTTCAATTTTGATGCGGTTCGTTTCATTTACAGGAGCTCTGTTGAAAAAAATTATTTCTCGTAGTGACAATATGTATATGTAAGTCGCATTCAATTAAATTTTCTACTATGTATAATATTCCTCTAACATTGCAGCTAAGAAACCTTCGTCTAAACTGCTGTTTAGTAGTAAACTTATATGTATATGACTATTTTCTCACTGCTCTCGTCAATTATCCAAAATAAAGCAGAAAAGCATCATAAACACTAATTTAAATTAAAATTTTTGATACAAATTAAACATTTTAATATTATCGAAATGATATAAGAGCGTTGCTAAAAGAGGTACATTGAGAAAAAACTTGGTGTAGTTTGATATTCAAATTATTTGTGTCAGGTTAACAACGAGAAAGAAAATTTCTGCTGAAAAATGTGCAGCGAAGAGTTTGAAAGAACGTCGCAGCACTGAGTAAAAAAAGAAGAGAAATTGAGTGAGTAAGAGATACCAATATGAGTGACTTAATTTTTTTGTATGTCTATTAACTTTAGCATTCTAATGGTTCACCACGGTGGAAAAGCCTTAGCTAGAACTTGGTATGCCCAATAAGTGGACTGCTCTTTCTTGAGTGAAAATATGCCTACATTGAGTTTAAGCCCTTGTTTGAAAGCTTTACAAAATGGCTTGTTTTAAAATAACGCTGATTTTCTTATTTGTTTGATAAGATTTTCGTGTAGTGAAGATTTTTTAAAAACTAATAATTTATTCGGGTGAAAATGTATGAGTGAAAAATTGAGCAATACATATTTCGGGCAGAGCAGGAGTAGTCGAATTCACCGATAACTAGCAAAAATTGCATCCACGTCCGTGCTCAGATGTGAGAAAGAGCTTTTACACGGCGCTTATCAATATAAATTAGTATTGATGCACGTGTGCTAAGTTGTTTCTACCCTTTTGTGGTCAACACTAATATAAAATTTATAAAAATCTCAACAAACCTAAAACAGTGACGATTTGAGAGACTCTTCCTCTTAGATCGTGACCATAAAATCTATGAAAAGCTCTGAAAAAGCTTCTCTCGTGGTACCTGTTTCAATAGTGACTGCTGTAAGGTGTCCAACTATGATTGAATTAAAAAATGATAGAATACAAGATTGCGCCGATTGCAGCAGAATTCGTGAGAGTAATTTAAGCGTGACGTCACCGTAGAGTTGACAACTGAGAGCGGCAAATAAAACTGCTGTCTAGTGATGTGCTGAACTGTCGGTACCCAATACTTCCTTATCGGTACCCGATACTGATTCTTTACTTTAAACCTTCGCCATTATACGCATTTCAAGTTTAGAAAAAACTTGTTGCACTTGTTGACATAAAAATACTTCATACCATACGTCAAAAAAACCGATACCGATTCGAAAATTGTCGCTAACTGGTTACAGAATATGTCGCTAACTGGTTACAGAGTCTGCCTACAGAAATTATATCGTCCGATTCAGCTGGAACAAAAATGCTTTAAATAAATAAGAGTTTCTTTGTATTATGGCCTCGAACCGACATATATACATCTTTCATTTGAATCAGTATTAAAAGCTCTATTGGCTCCTATATTCGGGTTTTGATAGGCGAGTCTCCCCTGAACCGTTTTTCCATATTTTTGGTCTATGTGCGCTTTTATTCGAAACCTAAATTTTTCGGTACCGAGTATCAAGAGTATTGGATACTTGAAAAGTATATACTCAGCACATCACTACTGCTGTCATCTCGACTGTGACGTCAGCAAAACGGCCGATTCTGTCAAATTCACTGAGAGCCGATTAGCGGTATCGCCATCGGCGCCACCTTCTGTATTCTCTCCACCGTGGATTGAATTATATGCCTGAGTGAGTTGCTTGTGCTTGACTACAATTTCTTTTGGGTTGAGTAAAATTTTATGTGAGTGAGTAGTGTGATTAAGTGTTTGAGTGAAATATTATGTTTGAGTGTAATTTGTGAGTGAGAACGAATCAAAGGAGGAATTGTGATTGTAAAATCTGAGGAAAATTGAGAAAATAAATAGTAGGATGTACGCATAAAAAGAGCTTCAGCTCACTTAGTTGAGCTTTTTCTATCAATAAAAAGCTTAAAATTCAACCAAAGCTCACTCTTTATGCATAAGACCCAGTGTAATTGAGAAGTGTCTAATCAAAAGATGATCTTTCCACTATATTATATTTTATAAGATAACCGAAAAACGCAAATACCTAAGCCCAAAATCTACTGGAAATGTTGCAAATGCCAAGGTTTGAGTAGTTTTAAAAATTATATCAAACATGTATTTGAATTGGAAATATCATCTTTCGATTTGAAAGAGCGAGAAGTGTGCGAATATTCGTATTGAATTAAATCAGTGAGTATATCGTCGCTAGATACTATGTCAAATTATCGAATGTGAAAATTAAACTGTTGTAAAAAAAAGTGTGGGATTCGAAACTTTGTTAAAATCAGTATGTCTGCTTCTAAGAAGATCAGAAATTCGACGATTTACGAACCTACGTACCACTCCAAACGCATGCGCAAGGTATCGAAAAGCAAAAAAATCATTTTTTCACATTCGATAGTTTGACATAGTAGATACGCTATGTATTTTCTATGTACTTATACGAATATGTAGTATACGAAAATGTAATAAAAATTTACAGCAAGTACTTTATACACGATTATTTATGCATGGGCATGTTTATAGACATTCACGAAAGTAGTTATGTGAAAATATCTTCATTATTAAAAAAAAAAACAATAATTCATCGAAAAAATGTGGTATAAAATTTTATATAGGGCAACCTAAGTACAAGCTTTTATTTTTTACATTTCCCATCCAGTAAACTTTGAAAGAGTAGGAGCATAACTTCTCCAATGAAAAATATATTATCTCATTAAGAACACTGAGCATTTAAAAGATTTTAATATGTGACTAAATATATTTATTAATTTATCTGACTTTTGGAGGTCTCTCAGAAAAGAGTACTTTATCGGTTTCTCAGAGTGGCAAATATGTTAAAGACGAAAATTGTGTGACCATTTTTGGTGATTTTTAAACGAACAGAAGGCACTTGAATTGCTCGCATTATATACATAAATATTTTTTTTTAATGTAATAAAATAGGCTTTGAAAAATGAGTGGCTATTACAAGCTTTTAAGACAGCTATGACGGAAAATTTTTATTTCACCCAAAACTTATTAATTTTATGACTTTTTAATAGTTTTTTTTTTTTACCGATAAGTGCCGCTCCACACGCTCAGGTTTGTCGGCTCAAAATGTATGTATAGCCATTCGAGATTTCATACAAGCCAGTGCCCGGCGAAAACCACATATTTTGTACTGGCAAACCTGTTGTCGGTTAACCAGCTACTGGTACGTGTGAAACGACTCTAAGGCTGCGTAGGATAAGTAGGAATGTTATGTGCTAAATTACAAATAAATGGTTTAGTAGACTACTGGGCATGCAATACTACAACGAAAGCTATTTTCTATACTTTTTTATAAAAAGAGAATTGCAAAATAAGAAATAGCTTAACATAAAAGTACATTTTATTTCTATATTTTTTTTATCTACCTTATGGTTTACATAATTAATTTCTCCTCAGACTAATTTCCAAAAGTAAATCAGTTTTTTTATTCCTATTTAGTAGCTATTTTTTCTTTGTAAAAAATTTGCCTATACAATTTTGTGCTTTTGTATATTACGCCTCACTTGCTCAGGTACTTGCCCTTTCTTTTGTGTTATATTTGCAATTTATGAGTAAATTATGTGACCATTTTGTATGTATATTTTTGTATATATATGCATATGTGTCTCAAATATATGGTTGTAGTTATACATTTTTTTGTTTTGTGTTTTTATTCAGGCAATTGCAAGCTTTTCAAAAAGCGCATTGAAAATTAAAAGCGAAGCCGATTGATTTTTTAACGTGTAACATAAAATTCTAAAATAGCAAAATGCAAATAAAAACACAAACAACTTGGAAATTATAAAGTAGTAAAGAAAATTAATCGAAGATTAAAGAAAGTAATTAAAAAGAAAAAAGTCAATAAAACAAAATTTTTAAATAATTTGATAATTTTGCAATCTTATTTTTAAATATTTTTTGAAAACTGTTATTAAATGTTAGCTGCTTGTTTTAATTTTATTTATTTTTTTTTTAAATTAGTCTCTGTAAAATGTAAAGCTTTTTTTGAAAGTTCTTTCTTGAAAGCTATGCCTTAGGTGAACACCGCTTAACGTGAACACTGATTTTTAACTATTTACACCAGTGATGCTCAGAGAGAGAGAGAGAGCTTTTACTTTGTGCGCGTCCATATAAAATCTACAGGGAGCTTTGAAGCGTTGCGTCCGCGAGCGCTGTTTTGAGCCTCACTGATCTATGACAATCGCAGAAGAAAGAGACAATATGCATTAACCAATTTCAAAGAACTAAATTTTAACGAGTTCTTTGATGCTATAGATTATTTGGCGATATTTATGTATGTATGTAGCTTTACGCTTCAGGGTGGAGTTAAGAAGCTGCGATTAGCATATCAACAAATTGACTTCGTCCGAAACTTCGAAATCCATTTTCCCGACAGAAGTGACTGGGAGATTAATATTGACCTAGCTCCATCTAAACATGCCTTCGTTATGTATAGTCAAGCTGCTAACAAGGCCCTGGTGTCGTAGCGAATAACTCGATATAAGTTCAGGAATGTCAAAGATCAATACGATCTATTCGAAAGCGTATAGTAAATCTCTATTGACACAGTGATTTTCTGGGAAGCGAGGAAGCAGACGAGTGAGCGAGAAAGAGGCCTAAGATGGGATTAAGAAAAGTTGTTGAAAGCATACAACCTCCATTCTTTTCCAGTTGAGGAGATGCGCTCACTATGGTGACTGCTCGATGAACGGTATTGCAGAAGCTTTATGCCAACTTCATATAAGAGTGGTTGAATACTCTTTTTGAGAGTGAAACTGAAGCATATTTGAAGCCCAAAAGCATAAAAGATGATGCCAACGGGGTACTTGGATGTTAGCATTATTCGAAATTCGTAGATGGAGAATATATACATATAAGCATTTATTATTTTTGACTTTGTGAATCATTGATTTGGCTAGTTGCACTTACGAGGAAAATGGAAAGGTTTACTTCTTTGTTCTTATAGACATCCGCCTTGAAAAAATACTTTTAATATAAAAGTATTTCTATAGTAACCATATTAGCAAATCATATTTCATAACTTAGTTGAGAACTACAGACTTTGTAACTTGCTACGAAAATAGATATGTCTGTGAGTTTAACTCGTGCCGATAAGCCTCAAGTAAATATAGCATCTATAAAAGCCGTCGGATCAGCCATTCGATGAGAGTATACATAAGTTGTAACCAGTTATATAATATATGAGGACCTTCTTTGGGTTCTTAGTTAGTAGTGATGTCAAGAATTGGTTAGAAATGTCGGGCATAGTAAGCATCACTCAACACTGATCACAATGGGCAAGAACTCATTCACGACTTCTTACCATCAGCTAAGTATGCCATTCTAAGGCGAGGAATCTGAGGTTTTTTGCAGAGGCCAAGGACTCAAGGCCATTATAATACATAGTTCTAAATAAAATCTATAAACAAAATCAAATAAATAAACAAGAACAACTGAAAGGATATCAATCTAGTTGTCTACCGTTGTGCTTTAGGGTAGTCCAAATTGGGTTAGTAAAGAATCTACAAATTAATGTAAAATCACAATTACCCACTAATGCACTAATATTGAGCCACTACATATGGACTAATCAAAAACCAAATAACTCAGGATAAATAAACTAAGATCTAAACTAATACAAACAAAACTAGGGGAACTAAAATATGAAAAAGCTTTTGCAACTTAAAAAACTTACGCGCGTTTGCTTGCCCAGTTTCTTGTTTACCTGGACGCCGACACTCAGTTTTTGGCCCGTGTGCCGTGATGTTTGCTTTACAAGAATGCCAATCATTTCCGTTTGCAATTCGGGCATGTCCAGGCAGTGTTGTAGGGCATTTTGTGCCAAAACGACATGATAATCGATGCCAGGTTGATTGACGGCAACTGACATGAATAGTTGAATACTCTGTGTATAAGAGAGAATGAGTAGAAATAAAACGTGAATTTAGAAGAGGGAGTTTACATGAGTAGAGAGATAGTTATAAATCAACAACGATCAGAGAGAGTGGTATAGAAGGTTTTAAAAAGCTCTACCGTGGGATATGTTTTGGTATGACAGTAACTGATTTAAATGTTGATTAAGGAATTTTCACTCCAGTTACTAACTCTAAATCTTACCTTAAATAGTTTAATAGCTTCTGGTTGCATGGCTTCCGAGTGTAGCGAGGTAAGCGGTGATGTGATGGCGTCTTTGGTATGCAATAATATTGGATGGCGCCATAGAACACAATCTATAAGAAAATTATGTGAATATAATTTAGAAAATAGGTGTGAAATCTGTTGCTATATAAGTAGTATTCCTCAATAACTCGATTATCGTCAACGTCGGCTTGTTCTTTAAGTGGCGTAGGACGATGCGAAACCCGTGAGAACTATTGATCACTTACCAATCAGCAGTGGGTATATTATTAAATTTAGAGCTAAGGGTCGATTTGACCTCTCAAGTCTATAAATCTTTCCCAGCAACAATGGAAACGGTAGAAAATTTGACTTCGTGGACCGAAAAGATCTCGATAATTAGCCATAGGTCATCGAAGGAGGTGTTGGACGGAGCATATATTATAGAATCTAGTGTCAATGAATGTCCTTTTCAATTGTTGCATTGATAAAATGGGTTAATGTAATGATCATTATCTTCACGGGTCCATAAAACTTGCACTTTCGACGGGTTGGTATAAAAGGAAAGGCTTTTAGAATAATAGTTTCCATAGAGACGAAGGTTTTTTTTTTAATAAAAGCGGGTCTATCCACTTAGTTCGTTATCATGGATATCACATGTATTTCTGACCAAGAACTGTCAGCAACAATATTGCCGAATCTACTACTCAGCGTGAGTCGGTGAAGATGTTAATCGTTTTAGGACGTTATAGTACTTCTTATTACAAACCGTCCTTGGAGACCTTTTACGAGATAGCCTCTTTATGCTAACTAACTACCCTTAGATATGATCTCAGAAAGCAATAGACCTTTACCGGGTCCTGCGTGGGATATAAATAGCTAATCGACTTTTTAGATTCGCCATAGCGCGGCCAATGTTAGCACTAGAGCAGTGAAAAGAAATATGTAAATTAATCAATAAATACTCACTGGGATCTCCATCAGTCTCCATAAGTTTCTGTACGAGTTGCTCGTATTGTGTGCCCGCATTCGGTCCACCACCCGACACCACAGTCAAATGGTATAACCAATTATCACGTTCCTGCTTGCCGGGTAATATAAGGTATGTAGGCCCTTGATGTGCAGGATAAATGGCGACGGTAAGACGTGCTTGGCTTTGTGTAGGATCTTCACGTTCCTCCGAATCGGAATCGGAAACATGTTCGACCTCTTCGACGCGCGCATCACGCATATTAATTTGACCGAGCGGATTCTAAGTAGAAAGCAGATGATGAATTTGAGATTACCTTAAAAAAATGCTTTCACTTACCGTTTCGCCCGGCGCCTTGAAGTAGAGGAACATTTTACCCAACAACACACACCAACACTTCTTCGCATGCCCATTCTTCACTTTAGTGACCCAACCCTGTACGGTGGGTTTCTGATCGTCACGACTCAGCAGCAGTTTGGTTGCATTGCGCCGCTGCACATTCTGCAGTACGCGTATCCAATCGTCCATCGTGGCATTCGAGTCGGCGGTGAGGTAGTAGACCTTCTTACCCGTATCAATCTCAAAAGTGGAAGCACCTTCAGCGCGATTTATGCGACACGCTTCGTCTAGCATTATCTGACCCTGCGGCTTGCGATTCACATCATGTTGACTCTTCCAATAGGTGAGTGTGCCATTCTTAAGCACGAACCAACGCTTGCGCCATGTCTTCAATTTGCCACCGAGTTTGGCGAGGTGACCCATCTGCGGGCGAAGCGAGAGAATGAGTAAAAAGGGCGGCTAGTGAGAGGTGAGGTAAAAAAAAATTGAAGCAGTAACTTACCTTCTCCAGTGACTCGATCTTCTTGCTCGGCGAATCCACATAGGATTGTCGCATCAAAAGCGACGGCATAGAAGCATCCATGCACGTGGACTCTGACACCGCATCCGGTGGCAGAGCATAGTCATCCGATAGGCCTGATTCAAAGGAAATATCTGAAATTACTGTTCCACGCATGTGGGGGAGACGTAGATGATTGTTGGTAAACGTGTGTGAGTGGTTGTTGGTGCTGAAGTAGGTGGATTTGGCGGTGTTGTTGTTCTGAGTTTGTAAGGGTAGGGTTTGTGTATTGGTATAGGGACCCAAGTGATGTGTATGATTCGTTTGGTTGTAGGAGTGCATTGTGTTGTAATGATTGTTGTGTTTGTTATTGGTGTTGGTGTTTGTGTTGGTGAGTTGTGCAGTGGATAGGTGCAGTTGGTGAGCTTCGAAAGAGAATTTTCCATACAAAAAGGTAAATGGTAAAATGAGAGCCAAATATTTTGAATTTCGTTTCGAGAGAGCGAGAGAAAGGTTAATGAATGGGGACATTTAATGGGTGCATATAAAGAGAAAGTTATTAAAAAGTTCAATTTTATTTGCGAAGAATTTATTTTTAACTTTTTAAATGGAACTCTACGGGGTAAGAAATTAATCTGGATTAGTCTACGAGTTTTGATAAAGTGACAGGCACAATGCGCGCCTGAGTGGGAGTGGTGTGAATGGAAGAGGGCTTGCGGAAACTGTTAGAGTGAGAAGGCAAGGGGTAGCGCGGAATATAAAGGGAAAGAAATTATGAGGAAGATAAAGACTATGGTAGTGCTAAAAGCGAAGGGTGTGAAAAGCTAATGGTTACTGACATGCAAAGTTAGGAGAGAGAAGACAAGAAAATGGGAGTACTTCTAATTCAATGATCGCTAAAAGAGAGTTTACTAAAAAGAGCTACTCAAACAAAAGATCTTCTGGGGTTTACATACACCGGCTAGTCTTTTGCGATACCAGATGAAATTCGAGCAGCTTTAGGTATCGTCAGTGCTATTTGAGTGTAGTTCACAATATTCCGAAAGATTTGGTAACACTATGTACGGGTAATTCAGTCGCCTCTTGGATAATTCGTCGTCCAGTAAGTCAATGTACATAGATTTTGACGTGGAACCATGAAAGGCTATGATCGTCGCGTTTCAAAAATATAAAAAGCAGCTCATGGTTCGTCTGGACTTGAAATAGAATCTTCTTATTTCACACTGTAACTGCCTAAGCGAACAATTAGATTATGGAAGGCTACAAGGAAAATATACCATCCTTTAGGCATGTACTGAGGATTGGGTATTACGTGCAACAATTATTACTGGAACCGTGGTGGTACAAATCAATCGAAATCGGTTGAACACCTGATGTGTGGATGGCCCAACTTCTATTCCGCGAATCAATCTAACTATATACTTCACAGCGCTTTAACATGTAAAGATAAACTCTGCGATGATATTGAAAGCCCTGGCAGTCGATGATATTTGGGTTCCACTTTATTGGAGATATCGCAAATGTTTTCCATATGTAATATATAAGGCTTCTAATAGGATCCGTTGATAGTTGATTCTTTCGCAACTGGGTTGTCTGGGTCTGCCTATTGAGGCAGCAAACCATGTATGCTCCAAGGAAGACAAGATGAGTCAACACATTTCTAATGAAAATCTGGCTTAAACCAAATAGGTGTTACTGCATTTCGACTGCATAGACTCAAAAGTCATTTAGAAATTTTTAATCAGGGGCATTTTCATAACATTCGGGTAGCTAGAGCGAGAAATATAGGAAATTTTTTTGGTTGCAGTGTCGTCCGAGTTAAATCAGAAAAGAATGCTTTCTATTACCATCCTATATTATTATCTTTTTACGATCGAAAAGTGGCACAATTCATTAGAATTCGCTTAAAAAGACTTGAAAGATTTTTGACCAAGATACTAGTGGGTTTGGTGGTTTCTAAGGGACAAACTGGCTCGGGGAAGAAATAAATCCCAAGATAGTTTTAATCTACTTAGAAACGACAAAGACTTACTGATGGCTCTACTATTTTAGCTAATGATAATAATTAATTTCTAAAAAGGTGAAAAGTGGGCGTGCATGTTGCGGTAGAGGAGTTTACGTATTTTGTTTTGATTGTGGAACGGGTGTTTTATCTCGTGGAATCGACAGGCACAATCAACTACGCAGGCTACACACGCAAACTCATGCTGCAATACATACCACGCGCTTTCGTATTTTTAGGACTCTCGGAACCACTACGCTTGGCCGGACTTAAGCTCGACGATGTCTTCAAACTCTTCGAAGGACTCGAAGCACTACCCGAGGTCGATGTTTCCGTATTGTCAGTGCTCGATGAGTTGTGTGAATTGTGCGTTAGCATAACGGCATGATCCTCGCCATCGCTCGAATCATCGCTGGAGTCGCCCGTAAAGGGCATGGAACGTATTTGCGAAGCACGCTGAAGTCACATGCAATAATAAACGTCAAATAATAGCCGGAAGAGAGCTAACAGTAAAAAAAAAACTCACCCCCTTGACGGTGGCATAAACGGGCACCGATATATCACAGAAACCTCCGCTTGCGGTCTGCTGCTGACGCGTCGGCAGCTGCGGCGTGCCGGGGGCGCCACTACCCACACCACCACCACCATCACCGCTGCGCGCGCTACCCAAAGTGCCATTGTTCGCTGGCGTAGCACGCCCATGTCCGCCACCATTCGCTAGCGTATTACACGCGCTATTGCTGCCTGCCGATGCTGCGCCGCTCGTGGACTCTTGTATATCGGGTGGCGGCTGTGGCTGTGTCTGCGTGTGGTGTGCGTCCTGCTGTTGATGGTGGTGGTGCTGGTGCTGCGCTAAGCTCTCCTCACTCACACCCGTCAGCCCATCGTTGGCCACTTGATAGATTTTCGCCTCCCAGCTGGGGAAGCGATGCAGTGGTGGCGTGGGTGGACGCGGTACGCCCAAATCACCGCTAGTCGTGGTTGTGGTGCTCGAATTGCCGCCGCTCGCCATCAATGCTGGATTGTTCTTCATCCAGGCGGGCAATTTCTCACATGAGGGTGTATAGATTTCCGCATAATCGTGCGCAGTGTCGGTGTCGGAACTATCGGGCCGCGTTGTAGCTGATTTGGTGATGCTCGCTAGTGGCGTGAGTGTTAAACCATCCACAGCGGCGACCAAATTACGCTCGAGCTCTTGCGGCTCCATGCTGAGATTGCGTCGATGCTGATGATGTGGATAGGAAGCGGTTAACGGCCGATTGATTATCTCTTGTGGATCTAAGCTTTCGCTGCGCCGTCGTCCCTCTGCGGTATCGGCGAACTCTTGCACATCCAAGCTTAGGCTATTGCGCACCGGATGTGGGCCGATGATGCTGTGCCGATTCGATTGATTGGCGATGTGATTCTTTAGCAATTCCAACTGTTGATTACACTTGACATTCTGTTCGCGTAGCAGCTGATTTTGTTCCTCGAGTTCACGTAGTTTATTGGTGACCCACTCCTTGATTTTGGCCGCCTTCGCTTCGACTTGACGCGCGTCGTGTAGACGTAATTGACGCTGCTCCTCGACTTGTATTTCCAATGAGGTTATAGTTTTCTCAGCTTCGTGGGTAGGAAGACTAGCTGTTTGTTGTGCGGCGAGCGCTGATTGTTGTTGCTGCTGTTGCAGTTGCTGTTGTTGGCTTTGATGGATGGGCGAGTTGGTGGCTGACTGTGGTGGTTTGGGCCATTCACTCAGCCGCTGTTCCATAGCCCGCACCTGGAAGAAGGAAGAAGTAGAAAAAAGGGTTTAGAAATTGAAGTCAGTTGTGAGGTTAGAGCGAGAATAAAGGAGAAAGCTTAAGATCTAGAATTATGACAATGAAGCCTCAATAAAGCCAACTTTTTTGTGAGTTCTATTGTGGAAAAAAGGGACAAAATCAAATATCTCGAGCAGGAGAAGAGATAGCGAAATAAATGCAGTGGTTTTTAAAAGCTTTTGAGATTGAAAATTCAAGGAAAATAGTCTCGTTAGATAGAAGTATTACCTTTCCCTTTAAAATGACCTTCAAGAATATAGAGATTTAATTTTTTAAAGTTCATTTTAAAGGAAATTTAAAAGTTTTACTTTTGAAAGCCGGTTTTGAGGCCAAGGAAGTTTTTCATAGAATCAGACATTTAAAGTGGCCGTCAAAAGTAAAATTTTCGATATTTCTTTTTGGTCTTTTTTCGAAAATAGAACACTGTACGCCGTGTATTGGCTGTGAGGAGCTCAAGGGTATACATATGTACCTAATCATTTATACTTTAAACTGTTAGATCCATTTTTTACATGACATTTTATTAAAAACTAGGAAATACCCATCATGCTTCACTGCACCTTATAAATATTTGTGTGTTGTTACTCCCTCGAAAAACTCTTATGGCTTCATTCATAAAAAACAAAACAGATTTGAAGAGCTTTATGAAGTAAGATTTTCAAACAAATTGTCGATTTATGAAAAATACTTTATTTTTTATGAATAGGGGTGCTAACTAATATATTTTCGAAGGTATTTAGTCCTGGAAATTTTATTTTTAATTTATAACTCGATTCTGCATAAAGTGCATTTTCTTCAAAGGTGTATTAATTCAGTACTTACCTTATCTTATCACTTTAACTGAATACAATTTTTCAAATGGGTGGCAACCCGCTACAAAAATTTTTTCGGCAGTAAAATCTTTTAACATCTTTAGTTTGATACCCGTATTGTAATATTTCATTTATGTTATCAATTTAATAATTGAATAAAATTTTTCGAACAGGTGGCAACCTTCATCAAAAAATTTTAGGCAGGAAACTTTCCTAAACTTATTTAGTTTGATATTCATATTGCAATATTTCATTGAACTTACCAATGAAAACAAATTAAAATTTTCAAACAGGTGGCAACCTTCCCCAAAAATATTTTCCACTGTAAGCTTTCTTAAGCTTCTTACTTTCGACGGCCATATTGCAATATTTACTTATCTTATCAGTGTACTTAAACATCAATTTTCAAACAGGTGGCAACTCTCTAATTGGTTTTCTTTCTACATTTTAAGTTAGACCTTTAACAATACATCGTTGAAAACTGCATTCGATTGCATGCATTAGCTTTGAGTGATGCGCGTACAAACATACAGACAGACAAAAATTCTAAAAAGTTGTTGATTTGGATTCTGTTGCTTGAATAAAGACCCACCATATTAATTTTATCTTTATCTAACTACACTAAAATTCGAATGAAAATGCTGGTGCCGCCATGGTTAGTGTTCATCGTCTATGCTTATTGAATAAATCATTTAATTTTCAAGTTTCCAAATCGAAACACTCATTTTGAAATGTTTTTCCTTCCGCCCACAAAACTCTTAGCTGATTTTTTTTTCTTTTCTACCCCGTTGTGGTTGTCTGCAAAGTTTTTGTCACCAACACCACTCACACCAACCGCTCACTCTTCAAAGCACAAACATATTTGAATATCGTCTAACACCAATTAATAGTTAACGATCCACAACCCATTTTGCGTTAAAGTTAATTTAATTGAAAAGTTTGAACCATTTCTTTGCCCGCGCCGAGCGTATAAATTTGTTTTGTGCCAAAGAAATACGCCCAGATCGAATTACTCGAAAAGGGGTTGGTTGTCGCGCGTGGTAGAATACTTTGAAACTTGCCGCTTCGATTATTCAGAAGCAAGCAGTTTGTGGCGGAGGGTAAGTCGCTTCCGTCGTCTCGGTTGTAACGGTTTAAGCTTACAAACTTGCAAATCTATTATAGAGCAGTGTAAGTGGAGTCACCGCAACATTTTATGGCATGAAAGGCGAGACAATGCACCACACCAACACAGCTGTAGACGCATATCTTTAGTGTAAAATGGTGAAGTTCGAAGCACACGAGCAGACAACTTGGCGTGAAACTTAGCCATTTAAGCTTTTGTTTTTATTTCTTAAGCGGTTTAGTGCGCTATATGCAGTGCGAGGAATAGCTAAGATAAGCAGGAATGCTATCGCCTTTATGTATTGTGCAGCCTCTTACCTTCGCGATTGCTTTTTAGCACACAAAATCACGAACCGCGATTCACACATACGATAAATTAAGTTATCGTGTGCGAGCGTTATTTTAACAAGCGCCAAAGTGTGGGGTCAAGGTGAAGTTGCAGAGATTCGAAGGTTTGCAGTGTGGGTAACAGATTATAGATGATAGGATGTACAAAAAGGATACAAGTAATTTCAGTAGAGTGCAGCATTCACAAACGTATGGAATGTGTACTAAAGTACCTAAATCATTTTGCGCTTAAATTATTTAAATTTCTCAAAACATTACCCAACGTAGTTCCCAACTTTTGCTTGCACCCAACAGTTCTAGGAGAGATCAACGTCAACTGATCTAGTTCAAGCACTGCATCTGCGCCCGTTGGTTGAGTAATTGAAGTAATCATGCGGAGCAACAGAAAGAACCCCGAAAAACAGGCGTCTACCCTAACAGGATTTAAATAGCGTTGGTATAGAATTTAGCATATGGGTATTTCCATACGTCGAATACGGGACAGTCGTACGTTTCAATGTGATACAAAAAAGAAATACCATTTGTTTTCTTTAACTTTTTTGGGCCATTGTATAGCACATAATTAGCTCTATATTTAACCGAAAAATGAAAACAATCGAACTGCTTGGTCCTGAAATATAAGTATTTAAAGAGAGTGCCGTTACGTGACAAAAAAATGGAAATTGATTTTTTCTTTTCTTACAAAACCGCAAAACTCTGCGAATTGTGGATGGCTATTTTCATGAAACTTATTTTAATACGACTTTGAGAAATTCCAGTTGCTTTTAGAGTTTTTTGAATTAATGCAACTTGTTTCAATTTTCTTTTACAACCCCAAGTGTGAAACGTCACGTGACGTGGGTCACGTGACATGAATTTCCATCGTTATATTTTTGTTAATATTGCTTTTAAATGAATTTTTAACGCAAATAAAACATGTATTTTATGTCGAATATACTTTATATTTTGACTTCAGCGCCAATTCAGGGTCAATTTGTCGGAAATCTATGATTTATTATGTTTCAACTACATACGCCAAATTCGAACCAAATCGGACCATAAATACGGTTTTTCGAAATATCTCGACCTTGGCGCCACCTAGGAAGACCATTTTACGCAAACATGATTCTACTCACATAGCCAGTATATATTTAAAAAATCAGACAAATGGGCCTGTAAATACGTTAGATATAAGACTTTTTTTTTTGTCGTGGTGGACCTTCCGATGGAAACACCCATATGAAATCACATCATCATTAGTTCTTGAGTGAATTGAGAAACTTAGCTCCCTGGTTAGGCACAATAATATCCAGTTAGGGAAAAAGAGGTTAATAGGCAGCTGACGTTCACACAAGAGAGGCGGCAGCCAACACTCCAGTTGGTCCCGAGGCCTTCCTGGGAGTAGGTCACAATAATATTACGCAGGAGCTTAGGAGTGAGAGGAACACTCTGAGGATATAAACAATAAACAGTTTGGTAGGAATGCGCCCGGCAAAGAATGTATGGGAATGTATAACTAGAGAAGATATCAAACCCTAGTTAATGTCCAAAAAAGAAAACACTGTAGACTAAGAGGGCATCTGTATAAGCTGGGAATATGATGAAAAAAGCTTTGCTGGTTCTGCTACTCGACCAGAGAAACACCACTACACATTCTCATCGAGTGAGATGCCGTCTTTCTGAGGGATCTGGGCTTAGAAGAAGCATTATGAAGAGAAGGGAACACAATAGATTAATAAGTCGCGGTGCACACGTCATTTAGTATCAGCAGATCGGAAGAGGTGGATGGGGAATGCCACAAGCAGACCAGCCAATTCAACAGCCAAGAATTCCAAGTCTTCTCAGTGTTGAAGACAGATTAAAATCAGGCTGCTTAGAATGACGAGTCCAGCACGTTATTGAATTATTTTGCGTACTGATAAAGCTTGGTGTGTTTTTTTTTTGTCAAGCCAGATGTCGTTGCAAAACTTACCGGTAACTAATTTTTTGCACTCTTAAAACTCGCATCCATGGAGTTCTTATATCTGCAGGGACACTGACTGATCAACGAACAAAAAAATGCATGTTTCTTTTAGTGTGCTCATTTCCAGGTCTACACTCTTCCATCAGCCCTTATCTCTTAGTTTAGCTATAACTCTCTGTACCAAAGAAGCTGTATGAAACAGAGAGGTTTTACTCAAATATATGCAGGCCTCAGAGCTAAATAGGTACAAAATGTGCAACTTTTTCCTTCCAACTGTCGAAATATGGATGTGGGAATAAAAAAAATACCTTGCCTCATAACATAGCCCGTAAAATTTTTTTGTTCACCGAAAAATAGTAATCAATTTGTATAGATTTTCTTTCGCTGAAACCAAAAACCGTGGATTTCTTTTTAAAAGGCTTAAGGCAACTCCTCTATAACCTAAGTAAACGGGTAATAAGTGCGATTCAGTTGTCGGTAAGGTATAAGCAAAGTTTATGCGAGAGAGTAACTAGAGTTTTAGAAAAACAGGAGCAATAACGATACATATTTTTTTTTCGTTCCAGAGTTTTTCAGAATTGTTCGTAAGTAAGGCTGAGGCTTGAGTGATCTGTTTGCTATGCGTTTATATTAAACTAAATCGGAGGAATTCAGTTCCGCCATCCCAGCCCGGCGCCCAAAGAAAATGTACAGCTGGGTTGTTGCATAGCCAATCAATGTGAGACAAAAACTATTAAATTTTGTGAAAGAAAGT